TACACAGCATTGGCCTGTTCTCCGTTATGTCTCTGTAGATCAATTCGGAGTTTCTCGTTTTCATCCTTTGTTAAGGCATAGATTGCGTCATTCCCTTTTAAAAATATTTTATGTGTAAATTAGATCATTTACGAGCTTCAAAATGTTCTTTTTATCTGATATTTTTACTACAGAAACTGTAAAGATCATTACCTGTTCTAAAGTTTCGTTAAAAATATGTGTGCCGTGTTAAACAGTATTTTTGCACAGCTGAGACCAAATAAAAATATCTGAAGTATGATAAGCTATCAAAAATGAAGCATTCTTGCAAATTCGACGAAATATTGTTCAGTATTAACAAAGTACTGGTCGAGAAAAGAACACGATATTCTCATGCATATCTATAAAGGACTGGACCTGTGCATGTGCGCGGGAAAAACATCACAAGAATCATCATGTCGAGGAAACTATTTTTTGTGACGTCTGCCATGTCTGTTCACCGATGAACCAACAAAACTGATAAATCGACCAATCAGCTCAATGAGTTGCATTAATGCCTCTATGGGTTACTACAAGTACATAACATACTATATGTGTTTTTCGAAAAAGCTAGTTTTTTAAATTGCTCTCGGAAAGACTTCATGCATTTTTCCAAGCATTTACACGCTTAAGGAGGCTCATTACACCACCATTGTTTCAACTGTTTTTTCTCTGGGGACGAATTGTAATGGTACCTCTTTAATATGACCCTGGCCTTTAAAACGCTTTATAGATAGATGAAACATGCAGTGTACAAAGAAACAGATTCATTATGCATAAAGCAAGAAGGGTTGCTTCAAAAGAAAACAAAAGGGAACAAAAGAAAACAACATCCAAATCTTCGCAAAACAAGTAATGTGCCATTTCATAGCGAAGCAGTGAGCTCTATCAATCTGTCAATCACTGACATGTTTGTATGGAAGAAATTCGATACACCCTTGTTGAAATTTAAAAAGTTAATTTCTAGCACTATTGACTGAGTTGGTGTTAATTTATATATTTGTTTAATTGATTTTAATATATTCTCTGGAATTTTAAAGTTTTGTTCTGAATTTTAGTCGTAATGTTCAAACGTTCCTTAGTGTTTTGAGTCTTGGGTAATTAGGAAAGATAACTCTTGAAAGTGGACTTTTTATGTCAAATATTTTTTAAATTGGAATTGTCATTTCGTTTAAACATTCGTCATTCAATTTGTCACATGCAATCAACTGAAATACATTCTATGTCTCTTCATATCTCATTTCTTAATGTTTTTTAAATTGGATTTTTCATTTCGTTTAAACTTTCTTCATTCAATTTTACACATGTAAGTCATTGAAATACATCCCTTGTCTCTTCAGAAAACATTTTTTAAATGTTTTATGCACAGATTAAAAAGATAATGACATTAATTGTTTTTTAGGAGAAAACTATTTTTTCTAGTAAAATTAATATTAGGTTTTATGAGGTATTTTCATTGTGTGTACCTGTCGAAAGAAGATGTCATTTAACACTGAAAGTTCTGAAATTCTGGTAAAAAAAAAAAAAAACTGGAAAAAAACATTTCACGGAAATTAGATAAAAGTTAAAAAAATCTCTGAAAAATATTTATGATATCAATACCTCCATTTGGGGCGACTTCGATTCGTACCCGAGTACGTACTCGAGGTACTTGAGTTTCAATCGAACGACCATAGTTACTACTCAAAATACGTCATCTGACCTTATGAACTCTACCCAAGCTAACCCATCCATGCAGTAGGATTACTAGAGTTTCGATATGGCGGCGTCGAAAAAAAAAAACCCCGAACGTAGGAATTATTTTTTACTAAATATTATGTTTAGCATCGTTTATCCTTAAAAGCAAACTTCGAAACGCACTTTCTACATGAACACTTTATAATTTATATGAATATATGTTTATTTGATTAGATTTTTCAGGCATACTGTCCGATAACAGCAGAGACATAAATTCAAATTCGAAACCAAAAAAGTTCAGAGCTGAAAAAGAAAAACATTTCAACTGCAGCAAAAGCTATAGAAAAAATTAATTCAACAGATGATGTCAAAATGGACCTATTCGATCGCCTTTTAAAACTCATGGAGGAAATTTATTACTCAAGCCCTAGAGGGGCTTGAGTTATCTAAAACGATGCTAGGTCATCGATTTACTCAGTTAAAAAACACGAAAAGCTATTATTTTTGTAGATTAAAATATTTCTAGAAACAAAAATGAAGCTTATCTTTAAAAAGTCTGTATACTCAAAGATATTAAGCGTTAAATAGCTGATTCTTTTCTATGGCGAATGAACAATGAGTGAAGCTCCGCAGTCGCAACAGTTTCTATACTGAGATTTCGCGCTTACCTTTGCGTAGGAATCTCAGGTAACTTTTACAGACGCCGACAAAGCATCTTTGGACGAGTCCACTGTTTACTCTGAAAGGTGACGCAGGTTACCCAATCGTTAACAAATTTTACCATGCATGGCAAGATAATGTATGGTTGTACCCCCCATATTGAAATTGCTTGTCACGGGCCTGAGAATGATGTACGTGTGCACTTTGAGTGACAGTAAAATAATAGCACAACATTAATGTTAATTAAATTCTCCCTCGTACGTTTTTTTTTTAATTTCAAAAAATCGTACTAATTATCTTCAGCTTTGGTAACGGAACCTATATATGTAACTTCTTTTGGATTTGTCCGGAATATGTTTTAGACATGCCGCACAGCCAGATGCAGCTTTTCTCATTGTCAATTACTTTTAGTACCAATTTTCATACTACATTTTTTGTACATCACTAATAGTGGGGGGGGGAGGGCAACTAGACTTTCAATTAACATTTCCTATACTATAAGTAAGGTTGCGGAAAAAAGGGGGGGCTGCCCCCCCCCCCTGTTGCTACGCCCCTGAGATGATCCCGTAGTCACGTGGATTTTTGGGAGCACGGACTTGGGAGCCCCCCCCCCCAATCCACTTTGAAAACAGATTATACTCTACCTGTAGGCTTGTAACAAGCTATTTGGACTGGTAATTATAAAATTGTGTACTTGATTAAGCAAAAATTCATCTTAAAAAGTAGTACGATTGATAATATTTATTCTAAGTAAATTCAATATATGAATTTTGTTTCATGTACACATTTAAATTTTATTCAACAGAAGATTGAACTCGATAGCCCTCATCTTATACCATTATAGGATGTTAATATACTTGTTTTATTTTCTCTACCCTTCAAACTCATATGAGTTCGCTTGAAAACCACATGTTTGTGTAAACATCCGGTCATGTGACGTCAACCAAGAGTTAATACTCGCGTTTGAATCGAGGTCGCCCTCAGTGAAAAGATAATTTCACGCGTGATTATTCCTCGGTACACAAAACATTCAACTCTGATCTGTGCTCACGTATTGACAATGTTTACAACGTGTACAACTTCGAAACATAAAGTATGCTACTCAATACACGTTCTACATCAATGCACATGAGAATTAATGTAGAGGTAATTTACAAAAAAAAAAAGAAGCTAATCTTGTCTTTTTATAAATGCATAAACTTTTAAATTTCTAAATGTAGTAATAACTGAACAACAATTAATTCAACCAGTAACATGGCAAATTTACAAATATCTGAACTGGAGTCACATTTACTTGTGGAGATTTGTGAGCTGTATTTCAAAGTCCTTTTTTTGCAAAAAAAAAACCCGAATTTGTAATGTGAGCATAGAAATTCTCAATAGTTCCAATTTTTCCTATTTTTCTCAAACACGTTTCAAAAAATTGTAAATTAGCTTTCCAGCCGTCATTTGAAATCGCATTCTTAATCTCCTTGTCCACGTGTTTGTGGTAAAAACGTAGTAGACCATCATGCTTTTCGGCTCATTCACGAGACTGGACTATTGTTTGCTGCGAGACCAAGTGATCATGAATATTTCAAGAAGAGGCGGTTTAATATCCGACTCGGAGAAAAATAATTTTTACCAAATAATATTCCATAACGTTTAAAAGTGATGGAGTGGAATTGTCTTATTTGCAGAAAGCATATAACTTATATAATTTGATAAGACACCATATGTATTTATTTCTTTAAAAATGAAACATTAGTATCTTTAAAATACCAAACAAAATCATGGTTCCTAATTTTTATCTCTTGCATCCGCATGGATGGCATCATTTCCTCTGTCTACAGATTTATCTTTCTGGATAAGGACAAGGAGCACAATGCGGGTTAGACCGGTCAGCCGATGATGCTCATTCCTTCATGGCACCTGATCCAACTATGATGTTTAAGAGGTCCATGCTTGCTCTGTTTCTGATTTGCCCTGACCTGCTCGTCAAGTTCGTCATATTTTTTGCTGAAGGGCGAACTGTGTATTAATAAATTTCATACCTGTATCGGCTCCGCCTCGCCAGGTATATAATTTACTATCCAGGTATACCATCCCGAACCCTGTGTCTAAAATACTACGTAACTAACAATGCCTACCAATCCAGTAGTTCTTAGCGGCATTCCCAAATCCTTCTTTATACCCTTTCCATGTCCTGTAAAAATCCGTCTCACCATCTTCTCGTTTCTGAATGACCTATAAACAATGATTTATATTTTTTTGCATTATTTCTTTCGAAAATAAACTCCAACCACTTCGTTATATGTAAAGTTCCAAATAAGAAGATATGCCATTATGTACTAATTTTTACTCAAGCCCTAGAGGGGCTTGAGTTATCTAAAACGATGCTAGGTCATCGATTTACTCAGTTAAAAAACACGAAAAGCTATTATTTTTGTAGATTAAAATATTTCTAGAAACAAAAATGAAGCTTATCTTTAAAAAGTCTGTATACTCAAAGATATTAAGCGTTAAATAGCAGATTGTTTTCTATGGCGAATAAACAGTTAAAAAACACGAAAAGCTATTATTTTTGTAGATTAAAATATTTCTAGAAACAAAAATGAAGCTTATCTTTAAAAAGTCTGTATACTCAAAGATATTAAGCGTTAAATAGCTGATTCTTTTCTATGGCGAATGAACAATGAGTGAAGCTCCGCAGTCGCAACAGTTTCTATACTGAGATTTCGCGCTTTCCTTTGCGTAGGAATCTCAGGTAACTTTTACAGACGCCGACAAAGCATCTTTGGACGAGTCCACTGTTTACTCTGAAAGGTGACGCAGGTTACCCAATCGTTAACAAATTTTACCATGCATGGCAAGATAATGTATGGTTGTACCCCCCATATTGAAATTGCTTGTCACGGGCCTGAGAATGATGTACGTGTGCACTTTGAGTGACAGTAAAATAATAGCACAACATTAATGTTAATTAAATTCTCCCTCGTACGTTTTTTTTTTAATTTCAAAAAATCGTACTAATTATCTTCAGCTTTGGTAACGGAACCTATATATGTAACTTCTTTTGGATTTGTCCGGAATATGTTTTAGACATGCCGCACAGCCAGATGCAGCTTTTCTCATTGTCAATTACTTTTAGTACCAATTTTCATACTACATTTTTTGTACATCACTAATAGTGGGGGGGGGGGGAGGGCAACTAGACTTTCAATTAAAATTTCCTATACTATAAGTAAGGTTGCGGAAAAAGGGGGGCTGCCCCCCCCCCCCTGTTGCTACGCCCCTGAGATGATCCCGTAGTCACGTGGATTTTTGGGAGCACGGACTTGGGAGCCCCCCCCCCAATCCACTTTGAAAACAGATTATACTCTACCTGTAGGCTTGTAACAAGCTATTTGGACTGGTAATTATAAAATTGTGTACTTGATTAAGCAAAAATTCATCTTAAAAAGTAGTACGATTGATAATATTTATTCTAAGTAAATTCAATATATGAATTTTGTTTCATGTACACATTTAAATTTTATTCAACAGAAGATTGAACTCGATAGCCCTCATCTTATACCATTATAGGATGTTAATATACTTGTTTTATTTTCTCTACCCTTCAAACTCATATGAGTTCACTTGAAAACCACATGTTTGTGTAAACATCCGGTCATGTGACGTCAACCAAGAGTTAATACTCGCGTATGAATCGAGGTCGCCCTCAGTGAAAAGATAATTTCACGCGTGATTATTCCTCGGTACACAAAACATTCAACTCTGATCTGTGCTCACGTATTGACAATGTTTACAACGTGTACAACTTCGAAACATAAAGTATGCTACTCAATACACGTTCTACATCAATGCACATGAGAATTAATGTAGAGGTAATTTACAAAAAAAAAAGAAGCTAATCTTGTCTTTTTATAAATGCATAAACTTTTAAATTTCTAAATGTAGTAATAACTGAACAACAATTAATTCAACCAGTAACATGGCAAATTTACAAATATCTGAACTGGAGTCACATTTACTTGTGGAGATTTGTGAGCTGTATTTCAAAGTCCTTTTTTGCAAAAAAAACCCGAATTTGTAATGTGAGCATAGAAATTCTCAATAGTTCCAATTTTTCCTATTTTTCTCAAACACGTTTCAAAAAATTGTAAATTAGCTTTCCAGCCGTCATTTGAAATCGCATTCTTAATCTCCTTGTCCACGTGTTTGTGGTAAAAACGTAGTAGACCATCATGCTTTTCGGCTCATTCACGAGACTGGACTATTGTTTGCTGCGAGACCAAGTGATCATGAATATTTCAAGAAGAGGCGGTTTAATATCCGACTCGGAGAAAAATAATTTTTACCAAATAATATTCCATAACGTTTAAAAGTGATGGAGTGGAATTGTCTTATTTGCAGAAAGCATATAACTTATATAATTTGATAAGACACCATATGTATTTATTTCTTTAAAAATGAAACATTAGTATCTTTAAAATACCAAACAAAATCATGGTTCCTAATTTTTATCTCTTGCATCCGCATGGATGGCATCATTTCCTCTGTCTACAGATTTATCTTTCTGGATAAGGACAAGGAGCACAATGCGGGTTAGACCGGTCAGCCGATGATGCATGATTATTCAGTTTCTATACTGAGATTTCGCGCTTTCCTTTGCGTAGGAATCTCAGGTAACTTTTACAGACGCCGACAAAGCATCTTTGGACGAGTCCACTGTTTACTCTGAAAGGTGACGCAGGTTACCCCATCGTTAACAAATTCTACCATGCATGGCAAGAAAATGTATGGTTGTACCCCCTATATTGAAATTGCTTGTCACGGGCCTGAGAATGATGTACATGTGCACTTTGAGTGACAGTAAAATAATAGCACAACATTAATGTTAATTAAATTCTCCCTCGTACGTTTTTTTTTTAATTTCAAAAAATCGTACTAATTATCTTCAGCTTTGGTAACGGAACCTATATATGTAACTTCTTTTGGATTTGTCCGGAATATGTTTTAGACATGCCGCACAGCCAGATGCAGCTTTTCTCATTGTCAATTACTTTTAGTACCAATTTTCATACTACATTTTTTGTACATCACTAATAGTGGTGGGGGGGGGGGGAGGGCAACTAGACTTTCAATTAACATTTCCTATACTATAAGTAAGGTTGCGGAAAAAAGGGGGGGCTGCCCCCCCCCCCCTGTTGCTACGCCCCTGAGATGATCCCGTAGTCACGTGGATTTTTGGGAGCACGGACTTGGGAGCCCCGCCCCCCAATCCACTTTGAAAACAGATTATACTCTACCTGTAGGCTTGTAACAAGATATTTGGACTGGTAATTATAAAATTGCGTACTTGATTAAGCAAAACTTCATCTTAAAAAGTAGTACGATTGATAATATTTATTCTAAGTAAATTCAATATATGAATTTTGTTTCATGTACACATTTAAATTTTATTCAACAGAAGATTGAACTCGATAGCCCTCATCTTATACCATTATAGGATATTAATGACACTTCCTAGTTGACTTTCTACAGCTTGAGTATCTCTGACGTTTTGTCAGTATATACTTGTTTTTATACAAATAAGCTATGGGACAAGACTAAGTAAAGTAGAATAGCTTGCACATATATAATTGTCATAGTGAAAATATGGCTAATAACCAGATCTTAAAAAACAGAAACTTGTGTTTTTCTTTTACACGGAAATCGCACTAAAACTATCCTTTAATGTTTGGTTTATGTTAAAATTAAGAATAAAGGTTTCCTTTTGAATGAAAATTATTATTTACGTGTCCATGCTGCGGAAATCATTTCTAGTTACACCCAGCTAAAGACATTATGCCATCTTGATAATATTTAGTTCATTTATTTCCATCACAAGCCCTTACATTTGTAACTGTCAAAAATTTTATACAGTTGAAGTTGAAATGGCTAAATAAAATATTTATTGATTATTTTTTAATCATTCAAAAATTCAAAAGAACTACATACTGTCCACCCTCCTCCATCCGTCGTCATGTCACAGAAGACCTCTCTCCTGGTGTCAGGGTAAATAACGTACACTCCATCTTGTCCTTTTCTACTGGGGTCTCTTTTCACAATATCTGAACAATCTTTGTATATTTTTTCTATCAAATGTATACAAGTAAAAGAAATTCAGTGGCTGATTGCATAGCACACTTTTCAGGCAAATAATTAATTTGAGATTGGAATTTTGCTGATTTATAACTAAATGGACTTTAAACCTAAATGTCTTTTTTGACCTTATTCAGTATTCTAACAGAAACTGAAGTTGTAGCCGTTACAACAGAGATATACAATATATAAATATCTTACTATGTGAAGGTAAAATAACATGTTAATTAAAGACTTAATATAAAGTCTATCAGGATAACGAATCTTGAAGAAAAAGAAAATGAACATTATTTCGAAAATGTGCGGTATGACTGATTGATTGTTAATTGCTTTACTTCCAGTTTAAGAAATTTTCACTGAAATAAAGACTGATGAAGAGCTTAAAATTTAGACCTAACTTGGCACTCAAGGCCATTGAGCAGCAAGGGTTCTTTATCGTGCTAATGCACACCGTGATACGCGGCCTCGGTTTTTAGGGGTCTGATCAGACTAATAACTTTTACTTTAAAGCGCCGAGTGCTGACGATGAAACAGTTGCTTGCTTTTTTTCCTTACTTACAATTGTATCACTTTTTAGCTCACCTGAGCCGAAAGCTTTAGGTGGAAGCATCCTCGAGTAGTGTAAAAACAAGTTTGTTCAAATCATGACCCTCGGGGATATAGTGGGACCGCAATAGGGAAATCAAAAATTTTACGTAGGAATACATAGGAAAGGGCTTTAAAAAGCTTGTTCTCAAGAACCACCGTGACAGGAGCGATAAGACCCGAGTGGAAACATCCTCAGGTAGTGTAGAACTAAGTTCGCTCATATCATGACCCCAAGGGTTAGGGCAGGGCCACAATGGAAAAAGTTTTTCATAGGAAAATATAGGAAAAATCTTCTCGAGAACCAATGGGACAGGAAAGATATAACTGAGGTGGAGGTATCCTCGGATAGGGTATGTAGAATCAAGTTCGTTGAAATTATTACCTTCGGGGATAGAGCGGGACAAAAATAGAGAATCAAAGTTTTACAGAGGAATCTTTACAAAATTAAAAAATCTGAAGAAGAGCAAAACCATGAATGGTCATATTTAAATGCAAGCATCCACAAGTAGTTTAGAAACAAGAAACAATTATGAACCCAAAAGGGCTTGGTTTAGGATTGGGCACTATTATCGATCGAAGATTATTTATAGGAAAACTCCTTTTCCATATGTTTAAGGTCTAAGCTATGTTTAGTTAAATTGATATGGAAGTACCATTATGTAGTGCACTTTCATATTCGTTCAAATAATGATTTAAGGGGGTAGGAAGGGGCCGAAATGGGGATGAAAATTCAACAAAGAACAATATAAGAAGAATCTGTTCAAGAACAGTAAAGCCATTCTATTGAATGGAAGAATTCTCACGTAGTTTAGAATTCAAGCCCTTATTTTCAATACTGAACTGATTTGTACGAGGTTTTTTTATAGCCATACGGCTCCTGTTAGCAATTACACCCTTGTTTCTATTTTCTCCTAACTAAAGAAAGTCTAATTCAAGCTTAATCAATTAAATAGACATTTCTTCAAAAACTTTTATTGATGTCATATCTTACCCTCTAAAACAGGAACACATTTACCAGCAATGCAGATTTCATCCTCAGTACAGGACTGATTCAGACAATTGCCCATATAGCGCTTAAATTAAAAAAAAAAAGGGTTTCAATTGATCAAATATCTTATTAAATTCATTCTCATTTAAATGTTAACATATCTTTCTTACCGTTGGAAAATTATTGCGTTGAACATGAAAGGCTGGGCCTTTAGTCGTAAGACTACTTTCATTCTTGAAGACAAATCTTGTGTTTAGCCGGCATATTTTTTCTTCTTGTAACCAATCCACTGAGCGACACAACGCAAACTTTAAACAAACCACCATGCACATTGCAATGTCAGCATTTGTCAAAAGATTAAAACCAGGCACTAAGGATTTCTGATAATTGTTAATAAGCAAAGTTTTCGGGTCGAATGGGTCGAAGCATTGGGAGTAGCATGTCTGAAACAAAACTAGAAATTGTCCAAAACTGTAAAGCCCAGTCATCCTCAAACGATCTCCAGATATTTTAAATTTCAAAATTATATTCGTTAGGTCCTAACAGTACATTAACTGTTTTTTCTGAATTATTTATATATAGCAGTCTCTAAGGTCTACCTATTTCAGATTGATGATGTCTCCCATGATAGTTAATACTGTAGCATATTGCTTAATAACCACAAGCGTTTATTCATCAAAATTTCAAATGGATTCGGTGAATTAAAAAGAAATCCATTTAAGTTCATAAAATATTCATAAAAAAACAAAACATCAATAATTTTTATCTTCTTGTCTTTTAAGATTATTGAAAACAGATTTTTATTACTTGTTGTATTTCAATTTTAATACTCTCTCAGGTGGTGACACATTAACATATATTTTCTGTAAGCACCAAAACATTTTTATAGGGCTTGGAAATGACATCGCCCTAATCTTCATGAAATTTGCATGACAAGTGCACTGACAAAACAAGCAATTACGATGAATGAATTACGATGAATGAAGTTTTACACGTGCACCTGGTTGTCTTTGAGACGGAACCATTAAATTTGACCATTTTTGACCTAATTAAAACGTGAAAATTGAAGAAATATAAAATCATTTTTATCGTTATCAAGTAAACTCCAACATAAGGAAGAATCAAGTTTTGAGATATACAAGGCATCTACAGAATGAACTCAGCTCTAGGGAAAGGTCTTGTGATACGAAACAGTTTCTGAAAATGTGCAAAATGGGAAATTTTGTAGTTTTTGAAAATTTTAATGTCTAATAGAAAAAATGTATCGGAAATTTTTTAGAGTGCTTTCATACTTTAGTATAAATAGCGTTATCTTTAGCAAAAATGGAGTGGGGTCAAAATACTATTGGGCAGACTGATTGTTAGGTTATTAGAAATTCTACTAATATTATTGCCGAGATCAAAGAAATGCCGTGGACATTTTTCTCTTATAAATCACGAACGTCATCAAAAAATCATCAGATCAGAAACAGGTATTAAACCTGTGCAGTTGCACAGGTTTAATACCTGTTAAGAACTTAATAATGAAATTCTTATTAAAAACACATCAATGTGTCGTCTTTTGCAGTCTAAACACTGTTTATTGCAAAGAGTAGATGATGATTGTAGGTTTCTTAAAGGTCTTACGCAAGGAAATAGCCAATCAAAATGAACTTAGTCAATTGAAGTTCCATATATATAGAGAAATTTTTTTTTTCTTTTTTCATTTTTGGCAATTTGTTTTAGGCCTACAGTATTAAAATTGGACTCATGTACTAGGAATATCATTTCTTTAGCAGAATTATCCCACTGAATTAAAAGGAACTCTTTTTTCAGGTGCGCATGATGCAACTTCCTGGATGGTGTGTAGGCTGTTTGTCAACATGTGAATCCCACGTGCATTTCGGGGTAGGTATGTTTACTGTCGATTTTCTTTCTTAAAAGCCGCATAAGGCATATTTTTTCTGATCTCAAATTTTTGCTTAAGCATTAATCTTTATTTTCTCTTTCATGAATTTTCTGCTGAGAGTCTAATAAATTAAATAATTTGATTCAAGCTTTATAGTAATATATAGTGAAATTATTTCCTTGTGTGAGACCTAAAGCTAAGCCGGGATCTACCACAGACGTCAGTACGCCATATTTGAACTCCGTGAGTTTATTGATAAAGCGGTAAAATAGGAAACTCATTTTGTAATTGTAAATTCATAAAAATTAATCTACATAAATTACAAACAGATTTATAATTCATAAAAAGTTACTTTTAATGCGGCGAAAGCACACATTCACTGCATTCTATTCACAGGTAAACAAGCAAATGTACACTCTAGCACTAAATTGAACAACTTTATCGCAGCATGGTGACATAATTCGTTTCTCTATAGAGTAATGATCAGTCGTATGTTAGAGCTCATAGTAGAATAGAAAAAAGTCCTTGCTGTCGTGAATGATGCAGAATAACCTCTTTGGTCTCGAAATGTTGTTTGAAATATAAAGCCTCGGCTAACTGTGATGAAATATATAGAGATGATGAACGGTACTGTATTCACGATATGGAGATAACGAATAGTATTCAATATCAAAGTCCATAAAACAATACAAAATTTGAGCAAAGCAAACACGGACCTTCAAAACATCAGAGGCGGGATCAGGTGTCATGAAGGATTGAGCATCCCATACCGACCGGTCACACCGATCATGTGCTCCTTATCATGATCTGGAAATAATGGAAAAATCCGTCGTCAATTCAGTGTATAAATATTGGACTACCAATTAGTATGAAAAACGTCAGCCATCATTTGTCTCAATGAAAATTGTATTTGCTGACAAGGTCATTGTATCGACCATAGAATTTACAAAATGATGACTTTTAGCGAGTGTGTTGATATTCTTGTTTCATCAACTTGTTTGTCAATAATTTACCTCCGTCGTTAATTAAGTGTATATACGAGGATTGTCCCAGAATTTCGTAGACTGGGCTCATATCTTTTAAAGAAATTAATGTATCTTTATAACATTTTTTGGATGGATAAAGCTTGTTTTTGGCAGATAAATTATGATGTTTTATCAAGTTTTCTTGAAAACAATTCGAGTAATAAGGTTTGAAGCGATATCGTTCTCTTACAACCGTAGAAATCTGCAACGTAAACAAATTGTCAACTGTTTAAATTTTTAGAGAAAATCTTTTAATAATCAGAATCAAAATCTTTAATTAAAAAAACGATTATAGTTATAAACGTAAAACATCTTAATTACCATGATATGATCAAATATTGTAAACAAAGGATATGCTTGTACAGTTATTAAATAATAATGATTTAAAAACCCTGTATTTCAACGGACTTTCCTTCTGTCTTCTCTATGGGAGTTGCACAGTGGCACCCTTGCCCAATTCTTTATGTCTGTCTTTTTTAATTTAGTTTCAGTTATTCACATACATAGAGAAACCATTTCACTCTATCTAAATACTAGGACCCAAAAATTCTTTTCTACATATTGTACATTTCTGTAAGAGTGATATTCAGGATCAAAACACTTGATCATAGTCCAGTGCGTCGTCTGTGCGAAGGTCGACGACATTTTCAAAAAGTCGGATTTCAACCCGGCGTATTAAACTTGCTCAAATCTCTTTGGTTTAGTGCTCTCTTTCATACATTTTGATAATGTCAAACATATATATTGATAACATTTAACTAAAAGAGAGCAGAGGACAGCAATACAAATAAGAACAAAAATATTGTAAAAATATTTATAATGAAATAAACAATAAAAACATAAATGCTTGAGGAAGTCTACCCGGTGTATATGAAACGTTACAAAATTCATATCCGTTAAAGATTAAACATCAAAATTTTAGGAAATATAATAAAGAAAACATTTTTAAGGTTTTTCATCTCCATTAAAAAATTCAGAGTAGAAATTACATTTCCCTAGGATCTTAAGTAGGAACAGGATCTTTCGCTGAAAAAATTCCTGTCAATGAATTTTTTTCGTATTTTTTATATTACTAATTTAATATGTACTTAACATTTTAAAACGGTCCAGTCATGGGATTTCTTGACTTATTTAAAAGATATCTCCCCACAAATACCGCATTGTTTAGAGTTTGTATGGAGTTTAGATACTTCATGTTTACAGGCCCATAACGTAGTCCATAATGCGAATATTTACGCACAAACGATGAATATGATAGATAACACTATATACTCAAATATTTCAGAATACTCGAAGTGTTTAAATTATCTGAAAGCATTTGTTTTAATTTTATATAGTATTTGGGTTGAACAATTTCTGCATTTTTCAAGGCAGCTTCATCGACAAAAACCTCATTTGGAAAAAATTCTGTCAATAAATATTTCTAAATTTACGATTGAATGTCAGTCCTTTATCGTAATTATTCACTGCAGAAATATCATAGGGTGAAGCTTACCTCAATATCGCACAGGACATCGATGAATTAAACGTAAGCATGGTAAAAACGCTTCACGTTCGTATTTTCCGAGTGCTGGAAATCAATTGTGACGTCACACGAAAACATAAACATTCAAAATTATCTAAATAGAGAGAATCTCTGCTACTAAACACGAAAAAATATTAATTAAAGAAAATTTGCTTCAGAAATTTATCAAGATAAATTGACTGTGACCTGTTTATTATGAAATAAAACTGATCATGACGGTGTGTGTACTTGATCTCGCTGCACTAAGAATTCAAACACTACGTCTATGACGTCACTGACGTCAGACTGCAGGGTAAAGAGAAACAAATGTGTGGATTGGGCAACTTCACAATATCTAAAAGATGGCAAGATCTTTAAATTTTTTATTAATAGTAATTTCTAAATTAAATGTTTAAAAAACAATTTTAGAATTTAGAATAAAATTACACAAGAACTGTTGATTTTAACAACGTTTAACATGTATATCATCACCGATTATGACGTAATATGTCTTTTTAGTCATGTGACATGTGTCCTGTCTCCCCTTAAATATAATATACCGATTTTTGAATTCATCTACTGGGTGCTGCACCGTCTTCTTACACCAGACAATGAAATCTATCATTTAAATAGGGTTAATTTACGTAGATACTTCATATTTGTCCATAAATTTATTAGATAGTGATGGTTTCATTTATATATGACATCGTGTTCCTGCGAAACAACGCTTGTCTACTGAATTTCGGGAAAACTCTCGTACAATGGACTTAAATCAGTTAAAACATTCAGTTAACAATTGACTCAATGAAAAAAGGTATTTGTTGACATGGTTATGGTATCGACCCTGGAACTTACGATTTGATGAATTTTAGATGCAGACATTTTTCTTTTCTTAGAACGTAAGAAGAACAAACAACGACGAATTCCTATTACCTATTACTTAAGCAATGAATCATTATTTTTTGAGTGATATAGTTTCATAACTGCAACGGTGTGTGCAAACAAATTGAATAACGCGCGTTAGCGCTTTATGAAAATTTGTTTGCACACATCGTTGCAGTTATGAGACTATATAACTCAAAAAATAATGATTCATTGCTTATATTTACATTTTTAAAAACTTTCTACCTTAACTGCAAATGTGATTTCTATTTAAAAACCTATGTATTATCCTTCGTGTAAGCAACATTTCATGGATCAGCCAGCGTAACAGCTTCTGGTCAATTTGAACGTGATTTTTTGATTTTCGCTTGTGACGTTGCACTTCCTCGGCGTTCAACGATTATGACGTCAAACTAAAAAGCATGTTTTAACCTCTTGGAACCCTGTCTGTGTTATGGTGTTTTGAATGCAATTAATTTTTATTCATTTTATATGCAAAAAATATACGTAATGTAAATATATAAAAATAAAGGGGATATACAAGCAACAAAATGCTTACGTACCTTGTTACATGTAACACAGTAAAAGAGATTTTTTACCAATTTTGGGAAAATAAGATTATCTTTATTTTGTGCTTCAATCCGTCTGAGGGCATCATATCCAAAGTCAAGGTTATCAGAAGGAAATACGGCGATGCTTGGTGTTTCCTCAAACACATTTATCTGTTTTATTAGTAGAATCGAAATTGGCCGATTGAACAGGCTTCAAAAACGAGTCCTCCGTGGAAAAGTCTTCATATGCACAATTTGTGAAGTGCGAAGGCCAATGTGCCAATGCGAAGGTCAAAAACTATGACATTTGACATCATTTTATGAAACATGAAAACTGCATTTTATTATTTTGATAACAATAAAGAAACTGTTTGAGAAGATATGAGTAAATATAATGCTAAAGTTAACTTATTTTGGAGAACAAAACTGCACGAAAAATTGAAAAAAAAACATTATTCTTATTGAGAAACGCATTTGCAGATCAAATAAAGTAATTAAAAAATTATTTTCTAAATAACTTTTAATATATTTCAGAGTATATAAAATGTAAGACGACTCCCTCGATCTTTCTATCAGGTTTTAGATTTTTAAATAGATATGTCGTCTGCTGTTCATGTGATGGGTTGTTTACATAACATTGGTTGTTCTTCTTGGCGACGATACGTAAACCAAGGTAAATAAATATAATATCATCAATTGATTATATATAGAATATCATCAATTGAATATATATGAAAAATGTATGACTGTTGTAAAAAGTCAGATATATTTTCCTTGGTCAACAATGTTAAATATCAAATACAGATATTAAAAGACATACATGTTTTTAAAATTGCATATCCGACAATCCAGCAAAATCAATATAACCTGTATAAACTAAACGCTAAATAGATTACTCGAGTCAAGCCGGAAGAAAAGATAGAAAAGGTTTACATTTTATTTACCTATGGTGAAATTCAACCAGACAATTCATAAAGAATTACAATCTTATAGAAATCGAAAGTAAAACTGGTTAAGTCTGAATCTGTTTGATCACTTCACCGGAATGTAACGAGAGAATAATCAATACTTTTAAAGTATTAAATACCCCAGTCTTTTAAATCTACATGTATACAGACATGAAATGACTTCCTATCAGTTTTGTGAACTGGATTTTTTGATGCACATCAGGATCCTTTCACAGGTAATCAGGGTACCATTGGATATGGTATCAAAGTCATTTATCGTTTCATTTTTTGTTTAAAAAACATTATTGTTTACCATATTTCTGGTTCAGAATTCAAAGTACAAGCAAATAATCGTACTTTAAAAAGAATTTTTTTCTACGTATATATAAAACAATAAAAAGTTGATAATAGAATCATTGTGAATCTGTATTGTAAATTAAAATAATTTTAAACTTCAATTTTTACAGCATAGAGTTCACGTTTTTTTTATATGTCGTATACATTTATAAATATTTGCCTTATTTTTCTGACACTCTAGGGTTTATTTTTCAGTATGTCCTTTAAAACCAAAAAGCAGAAACGAAAGTGCACCTCAGGTAAGTATATGCAACAGCACATAAGAGTCATTATAATAATAAAGTAGTCACTGCTGAACGACTTAAACATGATTTAACAGAACTTTTCTATTTCAGAACTGCAACAGAAAGCTTACATATTTTAGCTACATCAACAAAAAGAGAAAATGAAATGCAATGAATCCTTAAATATCAGCTAATTAATCCGTTGTTTTTACTCATACAACAATAATATAAAATTATGTCTGGAATAAAAATTATCATTGCAATGAAATTTGGAACAAACTACAGCACAAACGCTTACATGATCAATGTCTGCCGAACCGAAGACCCCAAACTGTTCACCGTCCCTTTCCAGAAACACGCTACTAGTTCAATGTCGCTGATCACCCCTACAGTGGCTCTCTTTACTGAATACGGTGTATTCCAGTCCTACGGATTTGATACTGAATATCAATATCTGCAACAAGGCGATAAAGACAAGCATCTGCTTTTTCGAGACTTTATTTGGGATCTTTTCTGTGTTAGGGATGAGGTCAGTTAACTTTAATGCTCTTCGGTGCTTTTCTTTGTAAAAAAATAATTTAATTAGTATGAGATCAGTAAAATCTCATGTTCTACAGTTAAAGTGTGATGTTTATTTTTATAAGATTAGGATGGCATATCTGTGTCATTCATTTTCAGGTTCCAAAAAATATAAAGGCAGTAAACGAAAAAGAAATGAAGTCAAACAGTTTTATCGTATATGGATGGTCACATAAAAGTTATGATACAAAAACGTTCCATAGACGTATCCCTGAGGTATGTTTTAACAGTGCCGACATGCTCATGTAACAATTCCAAGGATTTTAAGCTGAAATCTGTAGAACAAGTAATAAGTTTAGTTTTCTTCAGGGTACAATATAATTTTGATAGAAAGAGAGAGAGAACTGAGAGAGAGGTTGCACAAATAACTTTTTGTTTTCCATTTGTTTACAATGCACATCATTATTCAATATATTGCAGGCAGGCTTTTCCCCTGATAAAATAACAATAGTTGTGGAGGCTGCAGCAGCTCTCTACTTCTGCCTACAAAACCCAGTACTTTCAGGTCTCCCTAGACCAACAGGAAGCCAAAACAAATCTTATGTGTTTGTAGAATGTGAAGGTTGGTATGTTTACCTACAAAGTTATTTACAAATTTCGATTTATCCACATTCCAACAAAAAATCATAAACATGTTTGTAAAGATTTAGGATATCTCGGAAAAGAAAAAAGCTAACTGGTGTAAAAATCCATATCATTCATATTTCAGCAGAATTTACATTTTCTAAACTTCATACAGTACTAAAATATTCATGCATCAAAACGTCAATTGATATATGCGGCGAGAAACCAAATTTTTTTCCATTCAAATGTGCAAAATTAAATTCAATTTAATTCTACAATAAACAATGAAAAAATTGTTGTTGTATGTTTGTTTTGTTTTTAATCTTATCGCTCTGGGTACAGAAATCTTCTCTGTGGATCTTATTTACACCTAAGGAAGAATTGCAATTGTAGTGAGATCTAACCGTTTTCTATAAAGCTACTATAACGGTTGCTCACTCAGCAGGGCGCTCCTTTCGAGTCCGGAAGGTTGAGGTTTTGAATCTCAGACTCAACTGACCTAAATTATTTTTTTAAAGTAGCAATTGTTTTGTTTGTGCCATGCACTCAGCATCTTAATTGATGTGAAAGTTGCGATCTTTCGGATGAGACTTTAAAAACAGAGGCCCCTTGTCACGACAGGCATTAGCACGATAAAGAGGTATCACTGCCGAATAGCAAAGCGGCCAAGCAAAGCTCATCAACGGTATTTGGTAAAATCTCTATGAGTGAACAATTCTCGATTTGGACGTAAATCAATAACAATCAATCTTCAATAGTCGGTATTACGGCTTTGTCAACAACTGTATATCAGACGAATTGAGGAAAGAATCCCATTGATTACAATGCAGTCCGTGTCATCAAAAAACATGGGGTTTTTAAATTATATACAATTATGTACCAGTGTCCCTTTTCACAAAAAATCTTACGACTAAGTCTAAAATTTCCCCCACTCTATAACAAATATCTAAGCTTCGAAAATCTTATTTTTTCAGTAACAATTAATTGATATTTTATTATTTATTTGTCAGTAATTATTTAGAAAAAATATACTTATTAAATGAAAAATTATGGAGTGGTGAAGTTTTAGTCGAAGTCGTAGATTTTTTTGTGAAAAGGGCCACAGGTCTTTGTTATCTGTTCGTAAACTTTTTTTCTTCAATTTCGTCGAGTGTAATTATTAAACGATGACAATATTGTATTTACAAAATCAAATGCAAAAACATGAAAATATTAAAGACAGAAATGTAAGTTAATTAATATCTTTCTTCGAGCTACTCAGAATTTCTATATATAGTCAAAGTTCACTAGCAGAACTCTATTCTCGCGATCGATATTGACATTCGCTGGAATTGGACATATTCCAACACGTAAGTTTTAAGTAAATTCCAAATATTGTCTTTTTTCATTAAAAAAAAAGTCAACTGAATGAGGAAATCGTAATATATTGCAATTACACGTTTTTTTATCCCAACCTTTTCCTTTTATTCCTAAAAGCTTGCAAATAATCTAGTTTCGTTTTATATTTTATGAATTGTAAACACTTAAGTTTCATTATTGTTGATGTTGGTTCTCTTAATTTTCTAGAAAATATGTAAAACAATTAACATTTACCGGTGTAGCGACGAAAATTGACCCCCGTAAAATATTGACCAGGGGATCATTTTTCTACGTATGGTCATTTTGCGACTATAGTAAAACATTCCGGACCAGTAATTCTACGAGTCCACACACGTTGAAAAAACACCCACATAGAAATTTGACCCCCTACTTTTTAATGCAATAAAACTGATATTTGTGTCTCCTGATATTTGTTAAACTATCAAATGTACGGAGGGGGAATGTTCCTTGCCCCTTCCCAACATATATTTGATTGCTTATCTTAACAGACGCATCATAATCAATGTTTCTGGTATAGATTTTTTTATCTTGCAGAATCCCAATTATTAATATTAATTCTTTGAGGAACATAAATTTATCAATATAATTGTGGATGTTTTTTTATCATTGAAAGATTTTGTTCCGAAAATAGCACGATATATTCTAGTGTGCTAAAGATAAAAGATACCACCGAGTCTGACACATCTGTTTAATATTTGAATTTTAGCTAGACTTTCCTATCGCCAACTTCCCTTACTTATGCAGCAATATATCTTCCTCACCTGCATATGGAGTTTAGATTTCTCAGTTGATTCGATACGCAAGAGCATGCTCTACATATGGACAATTTCTTAAACAAGGTAAATTATTGACAAATAAGTTGATGAAACAAGAATATCAGCAATCTCGTTTAAAGCAATCATTTTGTAAGTTCTCTGATCTATGTAATGACCTTGGCAGCAAATACAATTTATCATTGAGTCAAATGCTGACTGACATTTTTCATAATAATTGTTAGTCCGTCATTTATATACTTAATTGACGACGGATTTTTTCCAATATTTCCCGATTAAGACAAGGAGTACACGGCGGGTACATGTACTTATGGTCAGCAGAATATGATCAGATCACTTCTCCATGGCATTTGATCCCACCTCTGATGTTTTGGAGGTCCGTGTTTGCTCTGATCCTATTTTGTATTGTTTTGTAAAATTTGAAATTGAATACTGTTCATATGATACCTCGATATCCTTCAGTTTTGGATAAAAATAAACGGGTCGGGAGGCCTCCAAAATTAGCACTGTTAACCATTTAGATCCATTTTTGATTTTTCTTTTTACAAATCCAAAAACATAGCACAGAAGCAAGAAAAGCAACGTAATTTAACTAAAATAAATTTAATATTCCCTTAGCTCTATACGGACTTTTTTACTTCCTTATATAAGGTACTATACCTTTTCCTTATATACAGGAAATACGATACAAATCGAGAACGTTCTTATTACGATATTTAAAAAAACAAAAACAGGCAAAAAATTACATCTGACAAAATAACAGTTCAACCTTTACAGATATCTATAAATTCATTTTTTAAAAATCCTTTTCACACACGTTTAGCCCACAGACACGCGAGAAATGTTTAATGTTACATCTCCTTTCATCTAAGTTTTTCTTAAAAATAAACTTTGCAAATACAAATGAACTTTTGGCCTATCGTGTCATTACTTCGATATCTAAAGTTCTAGTACATATCGTCCAAAAGGTAAGGCAAAAGTAAACATTTGGAATTTTTGTGTAACTTTTTAAAGATCGAATTTACAAATGTGAAAACTCACTGTATAAATGTTAGAAACAAATCTATTAATGTGCATATCTTTTCTCCAGTAACCTTAGTACATTTTAATAGATATTGTTTTCTTTTAATGTGGATAAAAGGGTTTGTATCTTTAGTGTAAGGTATGGTATAGCTTTCATTTCGATATTATTTTAAGTTCAAAATCTTTCAGGAATAAACACTTCATATTAAAAGGCTGATTGATATCCATCGCCTAACAAGAATATTTCCATTATTTATACACTGAATTGACCACCGATTTTTTCCGTTATTTCCTGATTATGACAACGAGCACACGGCGGGTGTGACCGGTCGGCAGGGGATGCTCACTCCTCCATGGGACCTGATCCCACCTCTGATGTTTCGGAGGTCCGTGTTTGCTCTGCTCTTATTTTGTATGTTTGATTAATGGATGTTGAGATTGAATACTGTTCGTTATTTCCATATCCTTCTTCTGTTCGAAAACAAGTGATTTGGCATCAAAAAATGACAATGGGTTATTATTCTACGGGGTCATTTTTCTACAATGTACATGGAGAAAAACGACCTCAAGATCATAATTTCTACAAAAAAGAGTCTCATTTTACTACGTAGAATATTGACCAGGGGGGCAAATTTCTACGTAGGAAAATGACCCCCGGTAAATATACTACGAGGGTTACTTTTCGTCATTAGACTGGAGTATTTAAAAACTGTTCATATAGTTAATTCACATTTGTAAAAGACTGTTATGATAAAATTGCCTCCTGTTTATCTGGGGAAAAACTTAAACAATACGATTATACTATACTTTACGTTCAATTGATCATTCCAATGTTTGTATGCAGAGCTTTTACAGAAAATGGCTGAAGTTGAAGTCACAGTTGGAATTCGCATAGGTACAAATTATACAACATATGCATGGAACACTCAATCTATAGAAGATCCGGCTTTTATAAGTGCCCAGTGGATCGACTCCTCATCGAAATCAATATGTTTAGAGACTCCAACAATTGCCCTGTTCGATTTCGATAGGAAACTCCAAGCATTTGGATTTGAAGCAGAAAAAGAAATACAACAACAAACTCAAAACGATCTTCTAGTTTTTCCGGAATTCATACAAGATATCTTCTGTAACGGAATTCAGGTATATTACTCTCCTTAAGTCAAAAGATCATAATTTCAAAGAACTTTCATATGAATATACTAATGCTAAAAACGAATAAAACGAGCAGTGGACGATCTGATATATATATAAAAGATATGTATTAAGAGGGCATGGTACTGGGTCCCCAGAGGTGGGGTCGTGTGCCTTGGGGTAGAAGGCATTCCCTGTTGAACGGTCACATCCACCAAACGTCCTATGCGTTGATCAGGTAGATGGGCAGTGATTAAATATATTTGCTAACAAGGTCATTGATATTAAGTAACATTTACAAAATGCTGACTTTAAATGAAATTGTTTTAAATCCTTATAATATTAACTTATCAGAGAGAAGTGAATTTACTCTAAGCAAATATGTTGCCAAACATAAACACCATAGTCTGGTGATAATGGAATATTCATAAAACAAGAGGCTCTGGGGCCAAATCACTCACCTGAGCACTGTGGCAAGGGGGGAAAGGCAAACAGATCCGTATTGTAAAGCATAAAAATCAGAAATGGTCCCAGTCTTCACCACCTGTGGAAGCTACCATGAAAACATGACCAATGATGCTTTGCTGTTCTTGAAAAGAAGAAATTTTAAAAGGTTTCTTAATCATCTCCCTTGAGAAGGACGTTGCCCTTCATTTGATGCAATTTGAATCCCATATCCCCAATAATACTCTGTGCCAAGTTTGATTTTGATTGGCCCAGTAGCTCTGGAGAAGAGAAGATGAAATTATGAAAAGTTTACAACGACGAAAAGTAAGTCGCTAAATGTCGTCTACAGTTTGTAAAACATCAAAAAATGTAACAGATGTTTCAAATTCTTTATTTTTAGGTCACCTGAGTAAACTCAGGTGACCTATTGCTATCCGTTTTCGTCCGTCGTCGTGCGTCGTCCGTCGTCTGTCGTCCGCCGTGCGTCGTGTGTTAACATTTGAACATTTTCATCTTCTTCTCTGCAACCACTGAACCAATTTCAGCCAAATTTGGCACAAAGCATCTATGGGTGGAGGGGAACAAAAATTGTGAATTTCATGATCCATGCCCCCCTGGGGCCTGAGGGGTGGGGCCAAAACCACTAAAATTAATGCAATCTTTAAAAATCTTCTTCTTTACTCCTGGACATCAAGCAGTCAAACTATTTGCATGATTGTAATCAGCATTGAGTCCTCTACCAAAATCGTGAAATTCATGGCCCTGGGGTCAGGGGTTCTAGTGCTAGGGTGGGGCTAAATAAGTATACAGTGAAAATGCATTATTTCTTTGAAAATCTTCTTCTCTGCTCCTGGGTATTAGATAAACCAACTAAGTACATAGTTATGATGAACAAGAGTGCCTCTACCAAAATTGTGAATTTTATGGCCCCCAGGGTCAAGGGTTCTGGTGTTGGGGAGGGGGCTCTATTGATTATATAGTGAAAATACATGAATACTTTGAAAATCTTCTTCTCTGCTCCTAGGTATTAAGTAAACTAACTAAGTGCATAGTGATGATGAACAAGAGTGACTCTACCAAAATTGTGAATTTTATGGCCCCAGGGTCAAGGGTTCTGATGTTAGGGGGGGGGGGCTCTATTGATTATATAGTGAACATGCATTAAATCTTTAAAAATCTTCTCTGCTCCTAGGAATTAAAAAAACTAATAACTAAGTACATGGTTATGATGAGCAAGAGTGCTTCTACCAAAATTGTGAATTTTATGGCCCCAGGGTCAGGGGTTCTGGTGTTGGGGGGGGGGCTCTATTGATTATATAGTGAAAATGCATGACTTCTTTGAAAATCTTCTTCTCTGCTCCTAGGTATTAAATAAACTCACTAAGTACATAGTTATGATGAACAAGAGTGCCTCTACCAAAATTGTGAATTTTATGGCCCCAGAGTCAAGGGTTCTGGTGTTGGGATGGGGTCAGGGGGGGCTCCATTGATTATATAGTGAAAATACATGAATTCTTTGAAAATCTTCTTCTCTGCTCCTAGGTATTAAATAAACTAAGTGCATAGTTATGATGAGAAAGAGTGCCTCTACCAAAATTGTGAATTTTATGGCCCCAGTGTCAAGGGTTCTGGTGTTGGGGGGGGGGGGCTTTATTGATTATATAGTGAAAATACATGAATTCTTTGAAATTCTTCTTCTCTGCTCCTAGGTATTAAATAAACTTACTAAGTGCATAGTAATGATGAGCAAAAGTGCCTCAACAAAAATTGTGAATTTTATGGTCCCTAAGTCAAGGGTTCTGGTGTTAGGCCGGGGTTCTATTGATTATATAGTGAAAATTCATTAAATCTTTGAAAATTTTCTTTCTCTGTCTCTGGGTATGAAGCAGATGAACTACCTATATAGTTATGATGAGCAAGGGCCCTAATCTTGCAGAATTGTGTATTTTAAGGCCCTAAATTCAGGTGTTGGGTGGGGGGGGGCTCTGCTTATATACTGAAAATGAATTTAGTGTTTGAAATCTGCTCCTTTGTATTTATAAAACATTTATTTATTTTTTTGAGTGGCAATTTTAAGGGTGCCTTTTAAAAATTTGTGCAATGTTTGGACCTAGGGTCAGGGGTTTATGTCACAGTGTTAGGGGCACTACTGATTATTGCTGAATATTACTGATTACTTGGAGTGCATTTTTGTTCCCCTACCCTGCGTATGGGTATTCAGTTACCAAGCTAAGCAACTGTTAAGTGTATTGTTATGATGATCAATGGTGCCTCTTTCAAAATTGTGAATGCAATATAGCATCTGGCTTAAAACATGAATCAAATTCAATACACTGTAACTGGAAAGTTGTTGCATAATGCTCAGGTGACCTATAAGGCCCGTGGGCCTCTTGTTTGTGTATTGTTTCCAGTTCATTGTTGTATACATGTGTATATAGAGCAAGCCTATGAATGATAATAGTTGTTTTAAAACATAGCACATCGTTGATATAACAAAGTCAAATTAAAGGCCACGGCTCATTTTCTCTTCTCATTAAATTGCTTTAAATAATTTCTAGTAACTTTGAATTTGAAAATAGGTCAACAAATAGAGAAGCACAATTGGTGCTTCTCGAAATTCCAATAGTTGGTAGTTGGAAAACGTGATAGAAATAGATCTCAAATGACTATTTAATGTTGTAAATGAGGAACATTTTATAAGTTTGTAAACTTCAAAGCATTTTTATCAGCTTGGTTTTAATAAACTAATTTTGCTGATGAGATGAATGACTTTCTTTCTCCTTCTCTTCTTTTTTTATACATATATACATTGTAGGTTCCATTGCAATTAACAGCCGAAAATGGTGTCCTGGTATCGTCCTCTAATATCATGACTCAGGTCATATCCTTCCTACTAAGGGAAATGCCAATCAAACCAAGCAAAGTTGTGTTCACTGTACCAACTGCAGCGACAGAGGATGCTTACAATTTTTTCAAAAAATCTGCAAAAAAGGTAATGAATTAAACCAAGAAACCAATAGACCTCAAAGTTAACTCCTTCGTTACTTGAAACCTTTTCCAACTTACCAAAAACTAATCAAGAAGTATGACCAAAAATGAGGTCAAAAATAGCTACTAATCCTAATAAATGAAATTTTAAATGGTTTACCCAGACTTGATACGCTGCTGGAAGTATCACCTCTTTTGCAGGCTGGATTGGAAAAAGTGTATATCATTCCTGAGGCCACATCTGTCCTTTACTACTGCAGGGAGTATCATCGTTTATATAAAACCACTTCAAGTAAAGAGGTGGATGCTTTTGCCAAAGGGAAACAAAGCGTAGTTTTAGAGTGTGAAGGTATTTAATTTGAAAGATTTTTGACAACAAAACAATGTTGTTAGTGTACCGAGTAGTTGAACTATTGCAATAATAATTATTTTGTTTTCAGACGACAACGTTAGTATTTCCGTATTAGAGGTTAGAGATGGTGTCATTAAGATTGTCTATAATAGTTTCTCAAATGTGTTGGCAGCTTGCCAAGTTCAGAAAGATTTCGAGGCTATGATTATTGAAATTTTTGGGGAATCCGTATTTGACGACTTTTATAGGAATCATCGCTCAGAATATTTTGAAATAGTTCATGAACTACGCAGGAAAATGACAGTTGACCTAAAGGAGGAAAAGCCAGTGAATATCAATATACCGGCATCTTTAATTTCTGCGTTTGAAAAGACTACTGGAAAGACTTTGAATCGAGCACTTCGACGAACAAAATTTTCGGATAAAATTTCTTTCATCGGCAATAAATGTAGGGTTATGCCAGAAATATTTCAGAGTTTGTTTAAGGAAGCAGGTGAGAACATTGTTCAACTTCTTAATAAAGCCATAGCGGATTCAGGGCTTTCAAAAGCTGAAAACATTAGAAACATTATTCTCGTTGGATTTTTTTCAAAATCCACCATTCTTCAAGACTTGATAAAAAGGTCCTTTCGTACGTGTCATGTCATAGTCCCTGAAGATGCCAATCTGGTTGTAGTAAAAGGAGCAGCAATATATGGCCAAAAGCCGGTAAAAATTCAAAAGGTAAAATATATATAACAGCAGCCATTAGATTTTTCATACTTGCTAAGAATTTCCACTTCATGTATATTTATATAAAATAGTTTAATATTTTAAGCAAAATTGATCTTTCGTTGTGCAAAATTGCGTGTTTATGTTTATTTTTGCAAAGATAATTAAAGAATCAAAATATTATTTAAACAATATACGTGTAATTTTTAGTTTGAACAGATTCATAAAGTTACGCATGCACAAGTGGCAATTGAACCTGTTGCTTCAAGAGAGGTCGTCACTGAAACTAATGTCACAAATATTGAAAACACATTCGAATTTGAAGATGAGGAGGAAGACATATATTTAGGAAGTGATGAATACAGAGTTATTTCCAACCCGGAATTACCTAAAACAAGACACTCTCTGACGACCTGTGCGATTCAGTGAATTTGTTTAAGCTGTGTTTAAGCTATCTCTGTGCAACAAACAAACATGTGACAATCTGTTGCAGTGAATGCAGTGTAACTTTCGTTCCATAAATAGTAGAGGGCTGATATTTGGAAACTTTTATAAGGAGACTCCATTCTTTATGTACTACAAAGATCAAGGTCATATCATATCACTAAATTATCTTAAACCAATGGTTCAATTTTCTTTATTTTTACACATTTTATTCTATTACCCATTTGAATAATTCTGTTATTTTTTGCAAAAATTGAATTATACATTTTCTCTTAAGAAAACTTAACTGTCGGATATTTACATGTGATTTTTCAATTTCGATATGCGATATGTAATATTCGGTGTTCTAAAAAGGGGACCTGTCGTGTTTTAGATAGACTGATTCATTGTAATTTGTTTAACGACCCTCTTGAGAATTTTTCACTAACATTTAGGCGTCACCGATGTCGATGAAGGGCTTCAAAGTTTGACTTATACTCGGCATATATATATTTACACATTTACTTTATGAATGTAAATATATTGAGTATCTCGTAATTTTTAAAGGGAAAGAACATTCTGATTACCAATCTAATTTAATTTAATGTTTAGAAAACCTTTAATTCTTAATAACTTCTCCAAACGACAATCCCATACACCTACACTTAAACTTATATATAGAGAGCAGCCTGGTTCTCCGGGCTGCAATGAATACTGAAACCTAATTATATTTGTTTTATGGAAGAAAATTTGTTCGCAATCTTTTTGATCACCCCTGGTATATATACAGGTATGGATCCAAAGGAGTGTATAGCTAAATCATTTAATACTCAGTTAGTAAAGAGTGAAAAAACTTTTACGGAGAACTTATTATTAATATCCCAATAGTTTATTTAGCTGAATTAATTCATATCCAATATTCATTTAATTTCATTTAAAATCACTCCAACGTTTTGATGATTATTTTTTTTAAATAAAAAAAGAATCCTTGGCTGGTGTCCACAGTTATACACAAGGTAAGGTATTTGGAGCTAATAACTGATACATCCTTAGGGAAACCCAGATGTCAATTTGCTCTAGAAAAAAATATATTGATTATAAATACCGTTCATGTTATCAAAAATCTTCGGATATTAACTGATAATATTTATACATGTACCAAGTCATTGATTTTGATTTCATCGAGTGTATTCAAGCGATGAAAATTTTGTTTAACTTGTGCAATGAATATCTACGACAGAAATGTAAGGAAAAAATTCTTTCTTCGTGACTGTATGTATTTTTTTAATGGCTCTTGTTCAACAGCAGACCGATTTTCCCGTAAAAAATTCTCAATAACGATTGATATTGGCATTCGCTCAAATTGGACATATTCTATTAAGTAAGTCTCATCTTAAAATAAATTCAGAATTTTTTTTTCATTTTTATTAAAAAGTGAATTCAGATGTGCATGGGAAAAATTAAATATATAGACTGCAATTATACTTTTGTATTTCAATTTTTCTCTTAAAGTAAATATTGCAAAATTAAGATTCTAGTTTCCTTTTATGTCTTATGAATTGCAAACACGGGAGATTCAGTTATGTTGATGTGGGTTCTAAAATTTTCTTTAGAAACATTAAAATTGAAGTATTAAAAACCAGTTCCTTTAATTTGGTCATTATTCACATTAATTCATCAATACTCATACTGCATTTTAGTTTAGATTGTCTCCTGCGGTGTGGGGACTTTTTTTTAAATTATACAATGATTTATATTCCTTTGATGATTAAAAAATGTCAAATGTTTGTATACAGAAGGTTTACAGAAAATGGCTGAGTGTAAAGTCGCAGTTGGAATTTGCAAATTATACGACATATGCATGGAATAAAAAAATCCATTGAAAATCCGGCTTTTGAGATTGTCCAATGGATAGATTTTTCAACGAGTGCATTACGTTTAGAGATGCCTACAATCGCCTTGTTTGGTTCCAATGAGAAACTCCGAGCATTTGGATTTGAAGCGGAAAAAGAAATACAACAACAAAACAAAAAAGACCTTCTGGTTTTTCCAGAATTCATACAAGATATTTTCTGTAACGATATACGGGTAAATTTCTCTCCCTAAAGTCGTGAATTCTTTAATTTAATAGAACTTTTATTTAGATATCAAGGCACTAATGTAAAAAATGAAGAAACAACCAGTGATTGAATTTTTTAAAAAATCCATACAAAATAAAATTATAATTAAACGACAAATATCACGAATCCCATGAAAGTCCATAGGTGAGATCAGGTGCCTAAGAGAAGAACGCAGTACGTAAATTTATTCATATTTTGTTTAAATATTAAACTTGATGCTGATGTACGGGACATTGGACATGCACAAATTGCTAGCTCTTGAAAAACGATTAAAACGATGTCCATGCACGGCGAAATTGAAGATGCTGTTTTTTGTTGTTTTTTTTTTTTTTTTGTTTTCTGGGAAAATTACAAATACTTTAATTTGAATTCATGTTAAGAAATCTCAATATCAAAGGTATATTCCATGTACTAGACTAGTATATTTTTGTCAGAGAGAGAAAGAGAGAAGAGCGAGCGAGAAGTCTATGTACATATAGTAGTTACCGTTTTTATAAGAGCTTCTTTTTCCCTGAAAATATATGTTTAACAATAATGTAATATTGTTAAACATACAGAATGTATTTAGTCATTTTAATTTTAATCCATAGATAATTACACTGATGTACCCGATAGCCAGCCTTTGATGAACTGTCGATTTTATTTTTTTTAAAGGGGGGGGGGGGTAAGAAGACAAGCCAAACAAAAATCTCCGGATAAAAAGACCGGTAAATGTTAAGCTAAGAAACATAATCCCTCTTTTATAAGATAAAGATACTGGTAACATGGGAGATCCAAACCTACATCAACAGTAAATAAATTTCCTGATTATGACAACGAGCACAGGCGGGTGTGACCGGTCGGCAGGGGATGCTCACTCCTCCATGGCCCTTTATCCCACCTCTTATGTTTCGGAGGTCCGTGTTTGCTCTGCTCTTATTTTGTATATTTGTTTAATGGACGTTGAGATTGAATACTGTTCGTTATTTCCATATCCTTCTTTTACTAAATTAACAGTAGTAGAGAATGATTAGGAAAAAAAAATACGGATGATAGGGATGTCACAATTTTGTTAAATTAAATTTTGTTTCAAATACTAATCTAAAATGATCAAACAAATACATTCAAAGGAAATGTATGGTAGAAATTATTTTTGTTTCAAATTTCTGAAATTGTTCCGATGAAATGATTGAATGAAAATCAACTGGAGCCTATTTTGCAATATGTTAAAAAATTAAATACAGCTACTGTAGACTTTTCCCAAAAGCATTATACCCAATGTTGAAGAAATGAACAATATTACATCGACAATGATAATTTGAATGAGGAACCAAAAGGAAAAATAAAACTATAGATGAAGCAAAAAGACGTACGAATTTCTGGATATCATATATATGGCAACATCTCTTGAGAATACATTCACTGAAAGAGCAAAAAGTATGTAACAAATTATAATTTCCAAAAGTTATGAACATTTTTAAAATCTTTAAAAACTTTAATGAGCGTGAAATATTATAATATAACTGACTGTTGAATTCTTGATATGAAATAATTAAACCACATGTTGCGTTGAAATCTTCAACTCTGACACATGTATCAAAATACCCCGCATATCTTGACATTAATTTCTTTAAGTTCTGTTGAAATCGAGATAAGACTTTATATCGTAATCCTTACATGACCCTACGGAAAGTAATTAATAAAAAAACAAAAAATTTTCTTCTTTTAAAGAAAATATTGATCATTACAATCGCAGCAAGTAGCAACGGAGGTAGGGGTGGAGTTTACATTGAAAGTCCCCCCCCCCCCACACACACACACACACCACCACCACCACCACACACATATACACACTCTTTGTTGTAGTATAGTCAAATTCGTGCACTATAGGGCTAAGGAATAAGGTAGTGTTTTATGTTTGATTAAGAAAATTTGATACTAAAAGAAGTTTGAACCTACCCACCCCCTTTTCTGCCCAACGGCGAAATTGGATTCTAGTTTCGACACCCCCCCTTTTTTTAAGGTAAATTTATTTATCTTTTCTGGCTGAACCATCCCCCAAATTTTTCAAAGGAGATAGTGTGGGGACAGGCGAAGGTACGAGTCAAATGTTTTTATTTTGGGATATGTTTGGTATGTTCTGAATGTAACAAATAGGAAAAAAATGGTCTGCCTAAGTACATGTATATATTTCAGCGAAAGAGAGTCAGATTAGAGCGGTATAATATTTACTTAATTAACAGCATCGCCTTAGACAAAAAGCATTAAGGTATGTTGTACATAATAGTTCATCATTGGATAAGACAATCGCATCGAAATTTTGAAAAGCTTATTACAAGTTAATTAGCCATTCACGGAGGAAAATGAAAACTAAGTAGATGACCGTTCGTGGCCGTGAAAAATTGTTTCGCTTGTCAAGGAAAATTTGGTGATTGAAAGTGCCTACATGTACAACCGAAAAAAATATAGCTCCCCCAACTGAAATGGCTTCCTAGGGGCCAGCCGTTCTTGCGTAAAAATACAGTAGGCCTTCAGATATCCGGAAGCCAGATATCCGGATTTTTCATCGGGACGAAAGTTTTATTAACTGGTAATTCCAGTATCCGGACGCTTCACATATTTGGGAAAATTGACTAGGAATCAAAGCATCCGGATAAATGAGGCTCAACTAAGTATACACTCAGTTTCAGTTTCAAATAGATTACGTCAAAATTTTAATATGGAAATGTCAAGACCGTTTAGTGTAAATATAATAAAGAGACAAGAAAAGCACAATTGCCATTTTTTTTTAACTATACAATATTATACGTAGATATTTTTTTTAAATCATAGAAGCTGCCCTTGTAAGAAATATACAAATGCTGTGTTCATGTGAAATGTAATACGAAGTCATACAAGGTGTGAAAT